ATTTAGATGACTAAAAATAGCCTTAATAAGCAAAATATTTAAAAAAAATGAGTGTTTCCTTGCTATGAGAACACCCTTTGAAAGCAAGGCGTGTGAAACGCAAACAAGTACTTTTAAAGATTAAAAACCCACTGATTTTTCCTGTTACTAACCCTGGATATGGGCTAAACTTTGTAGAGTTGGAACCTGAATAACGGTTCTGGAGGTAAGAAGGAACCGTTTCTTTTAGCCTCGGTGTATATCAAACAGACTCGGGGATGCGCGTCTGCGATTAGTTGTATTTAAAAGGAAGAAGTGGGGTAAGTTCAGGTTAGTGCATGGCAGCGTGTCTTTGTGTGATCTGCCGCATCCCAGCTCGTACGCTGAGTGTACAGCACATACACGCCTTTGAGTCCCGTTAAGCCTTTTGGTCCTGGGCAGCAACTTTTGCATGTGGTGTATCCAACCAAGGCCCAGGTTCCCCCCCGGGGGTACGTGCTGCAAGCGGCAGTCCCGTTTGTGTCGATCATGTTGCATTGTGTATCACTTGGCTTACTCTTTTATTACTGTGCTTGTTTAGTGGTAACGTCACACTAGTAACACAGTCATGTATAGATCTATGGAGACTGACTATTACTTTGTAATTTATAATTAAGGTGCTATTTTCAGGCGCTTGCGCGAAGCCTTTTCTGCTCCAAGAATTTGTGAACCCAACCAGAGACCAGCCACGAGGTTTCCTTTTTCTTTGCCCAAAAAGCTTCTCTTTTTTTTGCGAACAAGGTTTTTTTGTTTGTTTTTTTTTAAACTGACTGATGCTGAGACTTAAAAAAAAAAAACAAAACCAAAACCTAAAATAATTAGAGAAAAAAAATAAATACAAAAAGTGATGTTACCCAAGCAAGGCCTTCTAATAAAGGAGTGGCCCTCTCACCCATCCCTCCCTACCTGTGCAAGTTCTGCTCACATCAGTTTCCTTCCATCCAATTAGGCGACCTGGGAGACCCAGCCAGCACCATCCAGAGGGACACCGGAGTGGTGATGGGGTACCTCCAAGAAGCTTGCAGGATGGCACCAGGGAAGGTTATAGCCACTCCACAGCTCTTAAAGTGCCGCTGGCTCGATCACTGCAGATTAGCGAAGAGCTGCTGAGCAGAAACCAGTTTTCTACCGCTGCCAGCCATGGGCCATCTGGACTGCAGAATCATGGACAGCACTTAATATTATCCAGGGAGGCTTCTTGGGCAAAACCACACTACGAATTCAATTTCAGCCGCATGAAATTCAGGGGAAATGGTGCACTCAGCAACATCAGTGACCTTCCTTTTCTTACAGAAAACTCTGCCTTTCAAAAAATGGCACTTCAAACTAAACAGGATGGGAAAAAGGACATGAGCCATTCATCTCCTGTGGATTTAAAGATACCACAAGTTCGAGGCATGGACCTTTCATGGGAGTCCCGCACTGGTGACCAGTACAGCTATAGCTCTTTGGTAATGGGTTCACAAACGGAGAGCGCGCTTAGTAAAAAGTTAAGGGCTATTCTTCCGAAGCAAAACAGGAGAAATTTGCTGGAAGCTGGACCAGATTCCTGGGGCTCAGATGCTGAGCAGTCTACCTCTGGACAGCCATATCCCACCTCCGATCAAGAGGGAGATCCTGGCTCCAAGCAACCTAGGAAGAAAAGAGGGAGATACAGACAGTACAACAGCGAGATCCTGGAGGAAGCAATCTCTGTGGTTATGAGCGGGAAAATGAGCGTTTCAAAAGCTCAGAGTATTTATGGGATTCCCCACAGTACACTGGAGTACAAAGTTAAAGAGAGGCTGGGCACTTTGAAAAACCCTCCAAAGAAAAAAATGAAATTAATGAGGTCGGAGGGGCAGGAGGTTTCAGTAAAGATTGAATTAGATCCCCAGGGAGAAGCAGCACAAAGTGCAAATGAATCAAAAGATGAGTAGGGAGGCTGTAGAGTGCCAATTACTTTACAAACTGGGTGAGCACTACTGCATTGTTCAACCACCGCCGAGTGCACCTCATTCCTCTCTGCCGCCTAGCATAGATTTGTGTGGTCACAGGTGAAAGGTGTGCTCTGAATGTCGCATATTTGTAAATTTTCTAGCCTGGTATGGCTCAGAATCTGCCCTCACCATTTCTTTCTTTTTCTTTTTTTCTTTCCCCTTTTTTTGCCTTTGCATGTTTCTCTACTGTTTTAGAGAATTGAGTTACCTCAGTAAAGAGCGCAGACACGTGGAAGTGGACTCCTTACCTGTAGAGCCTGCCTGTACTTTTGTTGTTTGAATTTTTTTTCCATGTTTGCCTTTCAAAAAGCAAGTCCACTTCGTTAAACCGATTCACTCTTATACCAGGCTTTTTGAATGAGAATCAGACTGTCATTTTGTAATTCAGAATGCCTCACATTCTCCAGAAACATTTTTTTTTTCTTCTTCTTTCTTTCATCGAGTTGATTGAAGGATTAAGGTAAATCAAGCTCTTTGAGGAATGGCAGAGCTCTTGAACTTGGAGATTGGTTATTAGATAGGTAATCAATCGGGTCTAATTAGGCTTTCTGCCATTTTCTTTCTAAATTCAATTTATGTACCATTAGCAATCTGCTTAGTGCTCACCCGGAGGGGCGGGGAGGGGAAACTACATACACTACCTTCAGAAATACTTCGGTTAATGACGTAGTAACACTACCTTCACTGTAATTTTGTTTGATACTTTCTAAGGGTGAGATTTAGACTCACCTGTTTGAGGATGTAGCCTTATCTCACGGAAGACGAGCTCCTCGTGGTCAGGAGTGGTCAGGGTACACTAAATGATGTATTAGGGTATGCCTCATTTTAACAAAACTGTGGTTCTTTGCAACCTATACACTTTTTACAGGCGTGATTCAGAGTTTACTAAATGGTGTGGTTCCAACAACTAGTTTAAGCAACTCTAATCGGGGAGCGGGGGGTACGTGTAACAAATTACTGTGATCTTGCAAAAAACAAAAAACCACAAAAAAAACAAAACAACAAACCCGTGATTTCATAAACACAACCACCTCAATAGTCTGCCCAAATATCCATGCTAATGAAGGAGCTGTGTTAATGTTCAGGGAAGAAATAAAACACGCAGGTAGCCTGACCGGATTTGGGCTCCACATCATATCTAGCTGTAACACTGTCAGGGTCGAACACCCAATGGGTGTTTCCTTTTTAAATACTACAGTTGCCAGTAGCAGGAAATACTCTTGTATATCCTGCATATCTATTCTTTTTGTTTTTTTGGGGTTTCTTTTGTTTTACCTACTGTTGGTTTAATAGTGGTTTAGTGCAACACACTAGCCTAAGCAGATAAACATCATCTAAGCACTCCGTACACCACAAATCCACTCTTTTCCACGACAGTGATATTTTCATCCTTCTCTAGATCCAGGATAAGTTTTGTACAGAACTTTGGTCTTTGATGCTTTCTGCGGGAGTGGTCAATAGCTTGATACAGCTTACTGGACTTATTACAGTTTGACCAAATCAGAATGGCTGGTTCTTCAGGTAGAAAAGATTTGCTCTTAATTTCAATCTGTGCAAAAGGTTTATAGGACTGCCATTGTCCTAGTTGCACAACCAAAAGAAGCGTTGGGATTTGTGTGTGAGAGCATTAAGCGCTGTTGGTGATTGAAAGTGGATGCTCAAAGTTCATGGGAGGACGACGTAGATAGCCCCAGGGCTGCTGAATAAATTCTGGAGTGGTTAATTCAATTAGCCTTTTTGTTTTAGATATCTCTCTCTCTCTCTCTCATATCTTTTCCAGCAACCTATTCTGTTCAGAGGTTAGGCACACCATTGCTGTCATTTTAAATATGCACTGCTCATTCTTGAGAAGGACTGGGCTCTTGGCCTAAGTATGCTGTGTTTTTCTTTACTTACTGTATTTCAACACTCAAAAGTCTGGTTCCTCTTAGCTCTCTAGCTGTTGTGGCAGCATGTAAAGCAGTTTTCTGTTCGATAGATAGACTCTGCAGTGTGTTCCAGTGTCGCTGGGGATTGCAATAAAGGTGCAGTGAAATGCGTGGTGGGTTCATCGGCGGTTGAAGGTGAGGGCAGTAGGTTTTGCTGCAAGCTAGAAGTGCAACACTTGCATAACGCTGTTCGGAGAGGTTTAACCTTTTGGCAGTTGTCTTTATTTAAGTGAGGTATGAGTTAAGTTTTATAAAACTTGTCCTTATAGTGTACGGTGGAGTGATCATTTTACTAACGTGACTATTTTGTACGTGTATGGTTAAGTGGATGACAATCGTGCAGCAGAAGAATGGTGTGCCTACCCTTGAATGCTGCAGTTCAAAAAGAGAACTTGTCTTGTGTCATTTCCGACTGTAGGCTAAGGCTTGTAAATAGACAGTGAAAAGTTGAGTACTCTTTTTATTATTTGCTTTGGTTAGAAAGTGAATTTAAAAAAACAAACCAAACGCTTAACTTTCTCAGATAAAACGTCCTGAGACCTGAAGATTGTAATACTCATGTCTGCGAAGCTTTTAAACGTTAACACTTGAGATCTGTGAGAACTTAATATTCAGGTAATCTTTCTTTCCCGAGAAGCTTTTGAACAACCATATTTCCTCCAAAGGTCTCTGTTTAAAAAGAAAAAAAAAGAGAAAAAAGTGTAGATTATTTTTTAAGCACTAATTGCATTACGTTGGTAACTGCAATATAAAATAGCCATTATTGTTTTGTGAAGCATGGTTGAGATTTGTTAGTGGTCCCTTTTTAAAATTTCATGAGCCTCTCAAAAAAATAAAAACAAATTAAAAAAAAAAAAAGCTGCTGAATATTCGAAAGATATATATTTTACCTTATTGTAGGGTTTGTAAATTTAGTCTGTAATATTCAGGTGCACCTTTTAATGTTAAATCTTTGTTTCAAAGTCCATCTAACGTATTTTCTCCGCGGTGATTCATCCCATGACTGGTATCACTCCAGGTGCTGCAGTGATTACTGATGTTTGATTTCTTTTTCTCATGACACATTCTTTACAGGCGCTTTCAGTGTAGCTGTACGCGTAGTATTTGGGATCCTTTTGAATAGATAATTGGAAGTAATGTTTGTCCATTAGCATGCTTAATTTTCTGCTGAGCAGCAGTTTGCATGGCCAGACCCCCCAGTTGAGCGTATGCTGCTGTGGGAAGGTTGTGGCTCGCAGCCGTCTGTGTAACAAAAGCCTTGTTTCTCAAGTTATTCCCGGTAAGTGGACGCTTGCTACTTGGGCCTGTTGGACAGGAGACAGGGTTGAAACCTCGACCCTCATCCTGCTCTCAGGAGCAGGCTGATGGCCGAACACAGGCAAGTCGCAGCACCCCGCGCAGACTTGGCGAGTCGGGAGGAGGCGGCCCAGCCCGTCTGGCGTTCCCAGGTGCTCATTTTCACTCCTTCCTGAGGGTGCCCATCAGCTGTGGTCATTGGATTCAGCAGTATTGTTGTGTGCTCTGTTGATGTTGTCAGAGAAGGCTGACACCAAGAAACTGTGAATCAAATACTTGTGGCAGTCTCTGGGTATTTCAGTCCAGGTATCACAAAGGAAAATCCCTCTCCCTGGCTCCCAGCCTAGAAAAGTGATTTTCTCATTTTGTGTGTATAAAGTTTGAAGAATCAAGTTGCATATCGTGCCGAAGTTTAGATGTTGCTTGGTCAATCTTTGCTGCAGCATATCGCTGAAGATGAGTTGGGCGTTGTGTGGTCGGGGTCCTGATGTGGAGTTGATTGTCGTACAGTTCAACACGTGTGAAGTGTAGCGGATTTTATTTGGACCTGTAAAACGTGAGAGTGCTTTGTTAGAGCCCCGGCAAGTCCGCGACCATTGTTACCTCGCTTTCAGCCGGCTGGATCCTCATCCCACTACGTTGTAATAAGTATCCTTACCTTGGCCATAGCACTTGAGCACAGCCGGAAAGGGTCACATGCTCCAGTTGGGTGTTGCAGAGGCAGGAAGCATTTGGGCTAGATGGTTTCTGTCGGGAGATCCCCAGAGGTGTTCCTACCCTAAATTTTCCTGAAACGGGTTTCACGAAAGGCCACACTTGTTGCCTCTCGCTCGGTAATGCGTTCGGCCTCTCCGGTCTGGTATCAGGAGCTTTTCTTTGTGGTTCTTGCTCAAGCTGCTGCGAGGACATTCCTGTCACACAAGAGACAGCCACGTGTGGCCATTCAGATCGGTCGGGGCCAGACGGAGGACGAGTTGCGCCATTTGTGGCGGACCCACAGTTGCAAGAGTCGGTGCATTTCCTTCGTGGAGACCCTGGAAAGTGTGTTGCCTTCCCGCAGTAATTGGTTAGGGTTTTGCGAAGCTACCTGGGAAAATCGAGTGCTAGGCTTGGGGCTTACTGAACGGCAGATCTCAGTTCAGATCAAACGGCGTTGTGCTTGCTGGACAGGATCGTGGTGCCAGTGACAGGTGGAAAGAATGCACATTCCCAGCTGCGTCTGTTCAGTCAGCTTAGGTTTTAGTCTCTCTTCTAGGCTGTCCTTGAGCTGTTGGGGGGGTGGGGAGTGGGGAGATCGTTGAATGTGTTCCTGGAGCCAAGGGAAATGCTGTGCAGTTCCCTTGTCTAGGCCCAGAGCAGTGCTGCTCTGATCCATAAAATGGAGAGTTTTTGTTCTAATGAAGATGGGATTGGGACTCTTCATCCTCGGGAGGCGTGCTCCAGCTCCAGACCTGATGAAGGAGAATTTTTTTTATGCTGTACAGAAAGCTTTATTTGTCATGGTGATTTTTGTCTTAAATTCTCTGCCAAAACAGGATGGTAGCACAGGGAGGGTTGTGTGTCCTACACTTTGGTGAGGGTTGGGAGTATCTTGGTTTTCCCCACAGAGAAGCTTCAGCGATGAGATGCGGGCCAGTTAATATCCTGTTGATCGATAGGAGCACACAAGCTAAATCCACAGGATTCCCTTTCTGGGATGGGTTTTGCTCCTGTCAAGGTTTTCAGGTCCTTTTGAAGCGTGTTCAGAACTCTAAATTAGATCCTGCAGAAACCTGAAAGTATGCACTGCTAGTTAGTTGTGGTTCTTTTGGATGTAGCAAATATTATAATCACTAGATTTACTCTTTCTTAAGTATGTAATATATACACATTTCATCATATCTCGATCCCTAAACAGAGATGTTATCGACTCAAAAAAAACCGATCCACAGGTACACTCCACATATACCAAAAAAGCCCCGTGAGCAGTCGCATGTACACATCCCACCGCTCGCCTCGCTCACGGATCCTTGGATTTGACTAGGGCAAGACTTGTATACCAGTATTACAGAAGTCATGGATTTCATGTCCTGCAAAATTACACCCGTACTCAGGTAATCTCCTGGAAACCTTCAGTTTAAGATAGCCTTATATAATCCTCATGAAACTTTACGAGCCCAGTTGCAAGCTCTGGTTTCTCACCCTTATTACGGTGGCGAAGGACTTTTACAAATTTTGCCCGGAATATTTCATTGTCTTTTAAAAAACATGCCTCACTTGTCCCTAATGAACAAGCGATGGAATTTTGCAAGGCTCTAAGTAATTATCTTTGCAAATACGTTGGTCTCGGCGGGTGTGCTGGGAGCTTGAACAGGGATGTGGGCAGATACATCGGAAGAGAATTTTAGTGGTTGCTAGCCAAATCAAATCTGACCGAGTGTCTCTTGTTTCCACCCCAAAAAACAAAGACATCACAACTGCTACGGCTCTTAATCGCTCTATCAAATAATCGGTGCTACATTTCTCAAAGATTTTTGAAGACCGTTTTTATGCACGCAAGAGCGTGTGCAGTCAACTTGCCTGTCGCCATCGAAGCGCGGCTGACCTGTGGTAAATTACCAGAAAAGGGAGAATTTTAGCACTTTTTCTGTTAACAGCACTAGAGTCTTAATTTATCTGGTCTTCAGAGTCTTGGATACTGCAAGTGTTACAGTCTGAGATCATTATTAACCACTTTTCTGGTCAGATCACAAGTTCTCTTGAGAGATGAAT